TAAAATATTTAAGCAACGTTTGTTAAAATTTCTTTTTGTCTTTTCCCATCTAGATTAGTTACCGAATAACTCTAGGCTTTCTTAGAAATTCGCCTAATTTTTAAACCGACTTTTTACTCTGGGAGAACTTTAGAATTGTAGAAAAGTTGCGAGGATAGTACAGAGTTCCCAAGTGTCTACCTTTCGCCCAGGGTTCCCTAACGGCGACGTCTTTCCTAACTACAGTGCAGCTGTCAGGACAAAGGAACTAATGCTGACGCATCACTGCTAACTACTCCTGGCTTTATTTGGATGTCACTAGTTTTCCCTCGAATGTCCCTTTTCTCTTCTAGGGTTCCATCCAGGATTTGACATTGCATTTTAAGAAATTGTTTTTTAAACAGCCCCTAGTTTTCCTTTTTCAAAGCAATCTGCAAATACCTGTGAAACGTTCGATTTGAATGACATGCCTCGTGTACTCAGGACCCAGGTGTAACACTGACCAAGCTCACGAGGCCCAGACCCCTGGCCTTCCACAGGGGGCCTGCGAAGCCACCGTCCGCAGTGGCCCCCAGTGCCCTCAAGGGGCCCTCGCAGCTCCCGTGGCTTTCTGAGGGCCCGAGGCTCTGCACTCCTGGATCCTTGCCCACCTCCCTCATTGTTGGCAAAACGACGTTGGAACCAAAACTTACCTCCCTCCTCTTCGGTGGGCTGATAAAATGGAAGTGGCACACCCTTGAAAACAGGAAAAAAGCTAAGCTGCGGTCTTGCCCCAGGCACCGCCGTTTGGAGGGAAAGGGGTGGGCACCCAGTGGGGGCATGTTTGTAAGCGTCTTGCGCCTTGGAGCTAAAAGCTCAGAGCTGATGGTACTGCCATTTTTCTACATTGCTCAGAGTGGGAAGAATTCTAGAAAATGGGAGGTCACAGCAAAACTCTTAAAACACCCAGCGAAAAGTGGGAGCAGAGTGTCAGTATCCTAGGCAAGGAGGAGAGAGAGCCGGTACCTGTTACTTTTCCCTGCATTCGATGAAAATCTGTGGAAAGTAATTGCCTAGAGCAGAGAAGGGTACGCTACGGGCCAAATCTGGCTACCACCTATTTTTGTAAATAAAGTTTTACTGGCACACAGACACACTCATTGCCTTACAGGTTGTCTGGCTGCGTCTGTGCTATGTTGGCAAAGCTGACATTGTGATAAGACCACACGGCCTGCAAAGCCTAAAATATTGACTGTCTGGCCCTTTACAGAAACAGTTTGCTGACCCCTGGCCTAGAGACAGGTTCCCACGCTAGAGTCAGAGAACTGAGAAGCAAAGAAACAGGCTCTTAAAGAGGACAGAGAACTGTGCATCCCACCCCTGCGGCAAGCCCGGAGGAAGGGTGGGGACCGCCGTGGTACCTCATAGAGTTTAGTGGCAACGAGTTTTCTACCAGTCGTGTTCATTCCTTCCATAATTACAACCTGAAAGACAAGAGCAAAACAGGGGAGATAAACGAGAGGTCAGGAATAAATTATTTTGATGTAGTTAAAACTATTGTCCAGCTACTCTCATTTTGTAATCGTAAACTTGGAGGCATTTTTCTAGAAAACAAATTAAAGGGGTTGTATTAATAACGATAATTATGCTTTATACGGATGACCTCATTTTCACAACTGTCCTATGAGGTAAGAATTATTATTCTCATTTTACAGATGAGGATACTCTGGCTTAGAGGGTAAGTAATATAGCCGTAATCACATACTTCAGGGGGAAGAGCTGGGATTCGAACCTGGGCAGTCAGATTCTAGAGCCAAGGTCAGAGCTTATGAGGGAAAATCGAAATCCCTACACCAGTGTCCACTCTCGGGCCTGTGCTCCAGCCACGTCTCAAGGCACCAGCGGTCGGAAGCAAGGAGCAGCTGGCCAGTGATGGAATGCTCATTCCTGGAGCCCCAGCCCACCACACATACCGTAGGGTAAGGAGCACGCTCACATCCCTCGCACCTGTCCAGGAAACAGAGAGTATTCTCTGAGCTCAGATAAATCCACTGGAACTTGAGCGCCGGAAGAATGCTCCCGGTCCCCCTCTAGAATCACCGACTTGTTGTTCAGCTTCCCGTTGCTATCACAGCCAATCTGGCCCAGCAGAGTGACGGGCTCCTACCGAAGGAAGGTGGCAACGAAAGAATGACACAGTCTTTGGGACAGAGGGTCAGAATCTGAAGTCAACAGGGTGAATAGGAAAGCAGATAAGAAAATGATGCCTCTAAATAACAACAAACATTATCTTGGCCAGGCATCACTTTGACCCTGAGATGACCACAAGCATCATCATTGACTCTCAGGGGCGTTAGGGCTCTTATAGGGCTTCTAGTCTGACCACCAGTGCTTAAGTCCCTCTAAGTGGCTGCCTTAAGCTTGAGCACCTCTAGTGAAGCAGAACTTGCCTCAAGATCCCACAGCAGCCTGCTGCGTCTCTGGAGAGCTACAACTGTAAATAGCTTAGGTTTATCGAGCTCACTAAAACCCAGGCGTTGTTCTAAAGGCTTAACTCATTTAGTCCTCACGACATCTGTGAGGTGGATACTACTGCTGTACCCATTTTACAGATGAGAAAAATGAGCAAGAGACATCAGCTATTTAGTCGAGGTCAAACAGTGGGTGAAACCTGAGTCTGACACCCAGAAGATCAGCTCTAGAGCCATATCCTTAAACCACACATCCTACCTCCCCTTAACAGGAAGTTCTTTGTTAAACTGAGCTGAAATTTATCGTCCTATGGCTTCCTCTGTCCTGTTTCCACGCCTGGGGGCAAACGAAGGAAGCCTAATCTTTTCCCACAAGATTGTACTGTATATCCCACCTCCCCCAATACTTCCTCCTAAACTTCCTTATATGACATGGTTTTGCATATCTTCCCTAACTGGTCATTCTCTGAATGCAAATATATGACATACAAGTACCTTCAAAAATCTTCCAGAACACATCTCCCCATAGATTAAAAAATGCTCTAGAGAGAAAGCACTGGTTACACGTCAGATTAAACCACAAGGGATGATACCACGGGCAGCAGCTGGTCCACAATAACGGGGAGCCTGCGTGTGACCATTTCTGGAACGCCCATGCTTGCTGTTACCCTCACATCTTGATGTCTTTAATCTTTGCTTCTATGTAAGACCCGAACCCAAGTGCAAGGAAAATGACTGTCTCTGGTCACAAAACCAGAAAGCACCTGTGAGTCTTCCTTCAAAAGGACCCATTTTACCAAATCCATCCAGGATATATGTTCTCACTAGAACATCTGATGACGCCGGCTGATATAGCCAAGAAGTAGAAAAGGAAGCAAAAGGATGCCTTTTCACCATGGATTTAAAAACGCAAGTTAGGAGGAACAACTGGAACGACACTTACTTGTGCTGGAACTAGAACAGGAGCAAAAGCCTCGATCTGGTAATGTTCCTTGAGTTCACTGCCAAGTTCTTCTACCTTACAGGTCAGAACTGAAAGCCCAAAAGGGAAAGTGTTGTGTTTAAGACATTTCGCTTGCTAAGAAGAAAAAATACAGCGTATTGTCAAACACGAAGGCTAGTCATTTTATAGAAGCAGAAAGGCTGCTTAGGACATCTGGCCAAATGATACTTTCTAGATCCCTAGCCAACTTCCTGATACTTGGCTTCTGAATCCAGTCTTCCTCGGCCACCGGGGAACACGTGGCACAATCCCAGAGTCAACACGGACCCCTACCCCCGGCCTTCCTGGAACTCAGGTCATCAGTGAGGATTATGGGAAGTCAAGGGCAACCTGGACAGTCTTCCATTCTTCACAAGGAAGAAGCCATAAGTGTCTCTGCTTCCTTTAATACTTCGACTGGCTTCCTTTACACAGTTCAAATGGTTGTTACTGGGAAATCGTTCTGTGCTTTTCTTTAGCAAAAGGAAGTGACTTGGGAGAATTACTGAGCACATCGTGTCATGTCCCTGCACTAACGGGGACACCCAGAGGATATCTACCAACTTAAATATTCAAAGGCAACCTTGGAACCTGTTCTACAGCCTAGACGAGGCTTTGCTACTTACTCAATACCCTTCCAGGTGGTTCTACATCTTCCAGAATTTCAAAAGGAAAAACAATCACCTTCTCGAATGTCTGGCAGCTTCTGAAACATTGATTTGTAGCTCCCGGTTAGTGACTCTGGACACCCCAAGACCTTTAGGCTGATGATGCCGGCTCCTCCTCTCCCGGACCAAGACACTCCCTGGGCCGAGCCGAAGGAGGTAACCACTTCTCCTCGGTTATTCCTCGAGTTGTATTTCTGAGAGGGAGTAGCACTGATGGGAAGCGAAAGAGATTAACAGTACTGTGTTCGTTTACAAAGGGCAAGAGGAATAAAATAAGGTTACCTTTCGCAGATGGGGGCTGGGGAAATGTCAAGCTGGCCTCGCATTTTATAAATCTAATCAGCTTAATGGGGTTAGACATACCCGGATCTTAAAGGAATTTCAGGAATGAGGGGCTGAGTGATATCGAACGTGTTTAGAGACGGAGACATATTTTAAAAGGTCATTTTCCTGGCACAAAACTGAACAAAACTCACTCTGAACTGATGAAAAAGCAAGTTTCAAGTACCATTTTCTTTTCTTTTGTATGAAGATTTAGCATTTATCAGAACAGTATCAGAGCCTGGAACCGTGGATAAGCCAAAAGTTGCCATGCATGTATATGATACTTCACAATATAGTTTAAGGTAGGAACAATGAAATGAAGTGAAATAAATCAGCTTTCCCCCGTGTCCACGGAGGTGGAGATGCAATGAATCTGGTCTGCTGCGAACAGCAGTTCCCAGTCTGAGGCTCAGCTGACACGTTCTCATGTTTCCACTCCCTGGCTGGCAAATTACACCTCCAAGAACACTTAGATGCTGCTATCCACTTAGGTGACACTGAGACAGTGAGGTCTTCTAATGCTTTGGTTGTGAACATAACTCACGGAGAGGTCTATTTAAAACAGGTTTCATTTAATGCACCAAAACTCTGCAGGAGCCAGTTTTAGGTGGGCACTCCTGCCAATGGTGCCATAATTCCTTCTTCCCACGGAAAGGCTATAGAAAATGAGCTCCATTAATTACCTCTATCTCCAGTGCTGCCTCTACCCGAATAATTGAGAAGTTACTTTCATAAATTACAAAACCAGTTTCTGATGTCAGCTTTATTAGCATGCATTTAAGAATGACTAGGCAAAGTATTGCTGGCTTCTCCGAGCCCCTCCCTGCGAAGCTCTGTGGGACATCCATTGGGGCCGGCCTTTAATGCAACCAGACTTAATGCAACCAGACGCTCACACGAGGTCAGCTGTAAACAGACCTACGGGTCACACGAGGTCAGCTGTAAAAAGACCTACAGGTTTCAAAGGATTGCTTGCATAGAGAAGGAGCTGTTGGAGCAGTGCTGGCACCCATGTCGAAACCATCTCTATACACCAAGTTTCAAAGATGCTCTTGTAAGTCTAGAAAGGTGGCTTCCAAAAACAGTTTGAGAACTCCTCAAATTAGCAGCGGACCATACTCAAGTCAAACTGTCCTTCAGAATCCAATGACCGCTCATCTTAAACGACTGCTATCGCCTCCTTTCTAAAGTGACAGAGCTGAAAAATCTTAAATCTCTGCTTATTCTACAAGAAGTGATCCAAAGCAGAGGAGGTGACTCCAGGCAGCTAGTATTTCCCTAAATGGTTAACAATACTGTCCCTAAGCCTCATCCCGACGTGGCAACACCTACAAACCTTTCTTCCGCTCAGTACGGCCCTCACCTATGGATTCTCTAATACGAGACATGTCACTTACGGAATTCAAAAACTCACGGACAGAAGTGGCAGCAGGGATAAAATATCAATGAAGTCAGTGTGGATTCACAGTGACAGGAAAACTCTCAGAAACTACTTGTAACCTGAGATGGAACGATAACCAGGTTACGCAACATTATAAACAAAGATATGTGTCTTTATTTTTTTTTAAAAATAAATACTTTAGATGAAAAAAAGAAAACCAAACAAACTCAACAACACACGAACTAACAGAAGCAGGCAGGGCCTGCGGGGCACTCAGACTTCTGAATAGACAGGTTGTTTTCAGAACAAGCTATCTGTTCCTGATCTAGGAAACGAGCCCCAGAAAAGTGGGTGGAAAGTGAGCTTCCTTAATTACTGTAAGAAACAGTAATTTTCCACACAGGAAGAGAAAGCAAGGAGAGCAGAGAGCAATAAACTTTCTAGCCAGTCACAGCGGAGGTACTGGTCCACCGAGTTTAATAAGTCACTCTGTAGTCAGCCTCCGCCAGATAACCAGAGGAAGGGGGTGCGGCTCTTTGGCAGCTGAATTAATTCTCATCATACCTTGGAGAGAAACTCGATGGTGAGAGGAGCTGGTGGGGGCTGCGAGCAGACACTCTCCTTTTGGTTAGGGGGGTTTCTGGGGTGGTGACAGCTCGCTTCTGAGAACCCTAGAAACAAAACAAAAAACAAAACCCCAGTCACTCTAGACCCAAGTTACAAATTAAATGTGCAGTTCCTTGGAAAAAAAAGGAAAATGGTGCCCACACGAAGGGCACGAAATAGGACTGGGCCTTCGGGGCCCACCTGCCGTGCATAATCCATAGAGAACTCTCCAGTGACCGTCACCCGGCGTTCATCAGAATACTGTCCCATTTTGAAGGCAATTATGAAAAAGTGCCAACATTCCCGCAAAAAGACTGCGAATCAGGTGATCTGTCCTGTTAAATCATTCACGTGTTCACTCTCTTTTCCCGCCTCGCTTTGCTTTTGGACAGGTGTGAATTTTATAACGCATGCGGTTTTAACCTGCATGGAGGAATTCCCAAGAAGGGACGGGACGATGTTACCACTAATTTTGGCAAAGTCTACCACACATTTTCAAAATTAGAGAAGGGAATGAGTCCAAGCAGATAATATGGCTGAGCTCATACTTGGACAGTACTTAGCAAACACCTCATTGTTGGTCACTTGTTTTTGGTTTTTCACTTACTCATCAACAGGAATCCAAAGATGTGTCCAGCATGGAGGATGAAACCCTCAGTCCAGTGACCTATTGCTCCCCAAAGTCTAGGAAAACTGACTGACAAGGTAAGGCAAAATCCTTGCCCTGACTAAAATCGAGAGGCCAGCAGGACTGCAGAGGCTTTTTCTGCCCTTGGGCTCCTCCTGGCTGTACATCGGAGTTATGCCAACCGAACCGGGCGCTGACTGTGGCACAGAGTCGAAACCATCATTAAAGGAGCCAGAATGGAAACCACATTTTAAAAGGCTCTTAGGCTATCACCCTATACAATAACCATTTTTCAATATTCCTTTCTAGAATTTTAATATTTTTTCCAATTAAAAAAATACAAACTCTAATAGTTACGATCTTAGTTTAACTATAAACCTTTAAGTACGATATGATTTTATTAATTATGAGCATTTTCCTCCATTGTCATAATCTTGTTCCTTTTTGGTAGGTGTTGAATTGAATTGATATATAATAATTTACATAACAACTTCTCTATCGCTGGATGTATGGGTTGCTTGTAATTTGGGGTGATTATAAATTATGCTGAGACTCTTAAAGCTTTTCTATTAGGAGAGATTCTTATTAGGGAGAATTATCGAGTCAAGGATTGAAAAGATTTTATGGTTTTGTTGTATTTTCTCCAGCGATTTCCCCAAAGACACTTATAATATACTGTGGGCTCCAGGCCTCTAGGGCTAATGCTATATAGGGCTTATTTCAAGAGAGAGTCTGCCTCTGGTACTGGGACACAGCACAGTCTGGCACCTCAATCGTGAAACCTGATCGTGTCAACAAACCAACTGCCATTCTGCCCCTCAGGGATGTGTTCACTCCCACCAAGCTCATGAGATTCACTACTAAGATTACATGCCAGTTTATTTGCTTGTAATAAGAAAATATAGAGTGTATCTATTCTCATATCCTCGGGCAAGCACATTCTCACACCACAGATACCTAAATTACAGCCAAGGATGCCAGTGTATTAATTTACTAGAAACGGAATGTCGACAGCATGGGAACTTCGAATCCTCAGGCTAAGATCTTTTCTCCCATCAGGCAGGACACGTGGAAAGCCGAATTATAACCAGGAGATTTATGGTGAACACAGAGGCAGAAGAACAGCTGTCGACCGCACAAGTCAAATACTGAATGATAATAAGAGCACTGACATGCACCGCCGTAACAGGAGCACGCCTGCCCCGGCACGGGACGAGGGTCAGGCAGCCTCGCCCCGGCTCTATGTGTGTGGAAAGGCCAACGTCTGGCACTATGACTCTTTATCATGCTGCCCTTGATGCCCGGTCTAACAATGATCGAGCAGCTTCCGTGTGATGGGTGCTGTTCTAAACATCTGACACATCTCTAGCCCAGACCCATATATCTCCTCTGAGCTTCAGACACATATTTTAAATTATTTGCTCATTTAATCCAACTCACTTAGCTCTGAGCTTATGGTCACACATTCTGATTCGTAACTGAGCCTCCCAAGTACTTTCGTGGCAGGAATGGTCCTCAACGTGGTATTTCAGTCACTAGAAGGGTATATACTTCCAGAGTAAATGTGCATCTGCCTCATGCATCAGTCTACTGAGAACTGGGTTACCATGAGTCAATTCTCACAAATGTGATCAACTCCAGATATACAAGTAAATGAGATCAGTTCTGGAGCTGTGAAGTGGTCAGTCAGATCAACATTGTCCCACTAGGTACTGCAACTGTTTGACGCTACCAGGAGTGCCAGCCAACCGCTCTCTTTCACAAGGTCTGTCGTTCAGCAGCTATTAACGAGCCACGCACTGGGAAAACAGCAGCAAATAAAGCCGTCTCCGTCCTCAAGGAGCTTCCATTCTAATGGAGGGAGACACACTAAAACGCAGAGTGAATATATGACGTGTCTCAAGGTCGTCAAGTTCTATGGAGGAAAACAAAGCAAGGAAAGAAAATAAAGGAGAGAATGAGGAGGGGGTTGCTATCTTAGGCAAGTTTGTTCCCTCTCTTCAAGGGGACATCTGAGGTGGACACGTTTGGTATGTCTGAAGAATAGCAAGGAGACCAGAGTGAGGAGAAGCTCAGATAGAACCTCACACACCCAGGCTTTGAACGATCCTAGGGAAGATGGAGAACTAGGAAAGAGCAGTAGCAAAAAAACCTGGCCTGACTTTCATTTGAAAGGAGCTCTGGCTGCCGTGTGGAGAATCGGTTAGAGGTGGACAAGGCAGAAAGAGGCCAGAGGACCCGTTAGGAGGCTGGTCCACTCACGCAGAAGACTACAGTGCTGGGGACCTGGTGGTGGCACTGGAGGTGGTGAGGGGCCCCGATCCTGGGAGGGCCGATGGGACTAGCGGGTAAGGTGGATGTAGGGTGTGCGAGGAAAGGAAGACTCAAAGAGGTCTCCAAGGTTCCTGGCCTGAGCAAATGGAAGGGTAAAGGTGCCTTTTGCCAAGATATGGCTTTGGGGGACCATCTTCAGAGGGAAAAATCAAGTTCTTCAATGAGCTAAGTAAAATCTCGTTATTTCCTTTAATATTATAGGCACCTGGTTTTGTGTTAGCAACCACTCAGGGTATATTTTTAGCTTTTCCATAGGCACACTTAAACTACTTACTTCCGTCTTACGATGTAATTTACTTTGAAAAATTAAGGCTTATTCCATGTTTATATCGATCTCCACAAATTTATTTAGTATAAAGACTAACTAGTATTACTGAATACATTGATTTGGGCTTGGCAGTTTACATACTCATTTCACCTTCAAGCCCTCTGAGAAAGGAGATTATCAGCCGCTGGCTGCGAGCTTCTGGAGGGCAGAGTCCCTCTGGGCCTATTTCATTCACTGTTTACCCAGTGTCTAGCACAGCACCTGGCATGTAGTAGCTGCTCAGTAAATAAATGAATGAATCCTAATTTTATAGGTGAGGAAACTGCAGCTCAGAGAGCTAAAACAACTCACCAAGGTCACCTGGGTCTTTTGATTCAGGCTCCGAGGGCAATGCTTTTCCACTCCCACACTCTCTCACACTGGATCCAACACTAGAACTGGATTATTCAACAATAGTACCTCCACTTGATAAAAAAACTAAGCAACCATTAAAAAGAGTAGTTATAGAGAATCTGTATTTATAATAATTTTATGATAACTGAAAAAAGCAAGATAACCACACATTCCTAAAGGCTGTCATTACATGAAACCACTTACGCATACGAGCGTCAAGGAAGATGCGTAAGTGGGAACTGTAGGAGGAAATACATGGAAACTGTGTGAGTGGTTACTTTTCTCTCTCAGAACTTCAAATGTTGTGACATTTTTAGAATAAGAAAAAAACACCACTTGTAGGATACAATTTCTAAACACCGCGGACGCACCTTGGAGGGTGTGGAATAGGCATTCAGAAGGGTCTCCTCTTCCTCCTCCACTTCGATTCTAAAAACATCGGTTAAGAAAAATCGCAATAAACTTCAACGCAAAATCTAAGGCAAGGGTTGATTAAATTAAAAATCTGACCACTCGGCACTTATTATTTGTTTTTAAATTACGCGTGCGACTTGAGATAAATCATAATACAGAACAGGTGGCTTAAGACCAAGACCTTCAGCAGAAAAGGATACAGCTCTTGTATGGAAATGATGTCTCTAGCTCCCGCGTGCCCACTGTCCTTGGAGGCACTGTGCCGGGATCTGGCCAATCTTTTGCTCAGAACCTGAGGAATAGAAAATAATAAATATATTATTCCATAGTCAAGTATTACAGGAGGTGTTCTCCGCAGCCACAAATAACAGGCATTTGAAATGTAATCAAAGACATAAAATTCCTCAAAGTGAGACTTAAGAAGATGCACACAACAGATTAAACATAAAGACTTATTCTGTGACTATTTACCTACACAACATCACAGGTCTAATAATGACACCAACTATTTGTTGAAGACCCACCACCTACTGGGCATAGTTTTAGGGGACTTACATCCATTTTCATTTAATTTTTACAATAATCCTAAATAATATGATTAGAACCACTGACCGAAGAGGAAACTGAGGCTCAGAGCCATTAAGTAGTTCCCCAGGCTCACACTGGGACTGGAAGCCCATTTTGATTTAAAAGTCCACACTCTTCTCAGTATATCGCACAGCCTGCCCTATAGAGCAGAAGTGGAGAATTATGGGATGACGGGATGAGTCTCCTTCCATCGTGTCCTTACCTCATGCTCAAAAGAGTTCAGGGTCTCTGCGGTGAGGCGATCTTTCTGCGTGCTGGTGCAGAAGGCTATGAGCTCGCCTACCATTCCCGCCTCATTCTCTCCATGCAGAACGCACAGCTCCGCCACTGTGGAGGGAAAATTGGACAAGATCTTAGTTTCTTTCTTGCAGCTTTCACCTTGAAGAGAGAAAATAATCCTCTCTTTATTCAATCCATATTTATTCAGCACTTACTAGTGCCGGTCATTGTTCTAGGAATGAGAATACAGCAGTGAGCAAAATAAAGAATTCTTATCTCCACAAAGCTTACCATTGGAGGGGGAGACAAAACGAATAAGCAAAATATGTAGTCTATTAGATGGTTAAATGTACTACGTAGAAAAATAAAGCCAAGAGAGGGATCAGGGAGTTGCGGGGAGGAGCTGGCAATTTTAAACACAGTGACTAGGGAAGGCTTCATCGAGAAGAAGATATTTAAGAGTTAAGGAAGTGAAGGAGTGAGTCATGCAGTGATTAGTAAAAGCTTTCAGACAAAAATCCTGAGGTCGAAGCAAGATCAGCATTCCACTGCGGCTGGAATGCAGCGAGGAAGCAGGAGACAGAAGTGAAAGGGTGAAGGGAATGCAGGTTGTCGGCCATCAGGCCATCACAATGACCCTGCGGCCATCACAATGACCCTGCGTAGTACCCTGAGCAGGCGGGGCAATCGCTAGGGGATCTGAACAGAACAAGTAACATGAGGACTTCCGTTGACTGAAGGGGACAAGGGCAGAATCAGGGGGACCAAGTAAGATAAAATCTGGGTGGGAGACAATGGTGGCTTGGATTAAGGTGGTGGCTGGCCGTGGAGGTGGTAAGAAGTGGTCAGACTCAGAACGATACATCCTGAAGGTAAAGCTGGTGGCACTTGCTGGCTGGACGTGAGGTCTGAAGAAAGATGATGCTGTGTTTTTAGCCTGAGCATCTGGAAGAGTGGAGTCTCTATTAGCTGAGGTGGAAAGACAGAGGAGCGACTACTCTGAGGAGAGGAAGGAGATGCCAGGAGCTTCATTTTCTACGTGTAGAGTTCAAAGTGCCAATCAGATATCCAATCGGAGGCGTCAAGTAGGCAGCTGGCCACACCAACCTGCAGTTCAGGCAAGAGGTCTGGGCTAAGATAAAAATTTGGGATTCCCTGGCAATACAGGGGTGTAAAGCCATGAGACCAGGTGAGATCGCCAAGGAAGTGAGAGTATCTTTTCACTTTTAGAAGAAATAAACCAATTTTATTGTCCATCATTATGTTACACAAAAATCTACAGATATGTAGAGAAGAAACAAATGAATAGTAAATAGGAGGGAACTAGAAATCATTTAAATTTGAATTATTTTCCGTATTAGGATGAAAATCATTTTGAAGCACATGTCTGGCTTCAGAGTAGGTTTTGATCGCTGGCCAAAGCAAGGTGTTCGGCGTCTTGTCTGCTCTGCCGGCTCCTGACAAAAGCTCTGAGGTCTTCAAGAAAAGTGATGGACGCTGGTGCTCCAGGGGTGCGCTGAGCTCCACCAACTCGTCCGCAGAAGTACTGTCCACCCCTAGGTCCGCAAGGAAACCCATGAGGTGGTCGAATAAGGTCCAGTCCAGGGAATCTGTGTTGTGTATAATTCGTGTCCTTCCATTCAGACTCGCAGGTGGAATGAAAACTCACTTCCCTGATGGAGAAAATGTCACTCTCATCCTCTTCCTGTCTAACCTCACCTTCTGGATAGTGACAGTCCAGCACAAGAGCCTCCTTGCCACCATTCTTTATAACTTCAACCATGAAGATGGGAGTCGATGTCAATTCAGGCTCCTGTTCTTCTTCAACCTTCTCCCCTTGGGAGGGCGCCTCCTCCCCATCAAATGTTGGCAGGACGCTGCTGTTAATGTTGAAAGTGAGCGCCTTCTCCAGCAACATTCCGTACCAATCCGGCTTCTGCCCTACTCACTCTCAGCTCCCAACCTCCAGACATCTTGGAGAGGGACTTACGCTTCTATATGTTCTTTACCTCCTTAATTTCATCACTCAGGAATTCAACGAAAGCTTTGTCCCCTTCGGTGTGCAGTGCATGGCAGGAGGCTGGGTCGCTGTGCAGACCCAGCGCTCACGCTGAGCTGCCTCACCGTGCCCCACGACAGCGGAGGCCGAAGCGTGGAGCAGGCAGCGCCGTGGAAGTGAGAGCATCTTGAGGCTTAGGACAGGAGGGGGATGAATCTGTAAAGCCTGAGACGTGGGGACAAGCAAAGTAGGACAAATAGTAGTGTCTGATAAGCTAAGAGAAGAATGTTTTAAAGAAGATATGATGAACAGTGTCAAATGCTGCTGATAATTCAAGATGAGAATTGAAAATTCACCATTGACTTTAGCCAGAGGAAGGTCACTGATGACCTTGAGAGAGGTAGTTTTAGTGAAATGGTATAGATGAAAAGGCTGACTGAAGTGGGTTGAAGGAGGAAAAAAAAATGAATACAGCAGGTATAGATAACCCTTTGAGATATGCTGTAATTGGGAAGGAAAGACCTGGAGTGAGAAGTGGAGTCAACAGACTATTTTAAAGGCAGGAGTAAGAACCACATTTCCATGCTATTAGGAAAAAACCTTATAGAGAAAAGTACAAAACATGTAAGAGGAGAAATTACTGGAGTGATGTCCTTAAGAAGATGAAAAGGAATGGGATTTACGACTCAAGTGGAGGGTATGGTCTTTGCTAGGAGTAAAGAAAATTTATTCATTATAATAGGAAGGAAGGCAAGGTATACAGCAGACACAGATAGGTAGGTAGACACGGCAGACACATAATGGTGGTAGCTCCTAAAAATAGGAGCAATTAGAAAATTGCTCCTATTTTTTCCAGCAAAACAGGAAGTAAGCACATCAGCTGGGTGGGACAGAAGGATGTTAAAGGAGAAGGCAGAAAACGGTCATCTAGAACAGGGGTCCTCAAGCCCCAGTACTGGTCTGTGGCCTGTTAGGAACCAGGCTGCACAGCAGGAGGTGAGCAGCAGGCCAGTGAGCGAAGCTTCATCTGTATTTGCAGCTGCTCCCCAGCACTAGCATCACCGCCTCAGCTCCGCCTCAGATTCTCAGGCATTAGATTCTCATAGGAGCACTGGTCTTTGGTGCCAAAAAGGTTAGGGACCGCTGATCCAGAAGACTCAGAGTGAACAGATGGGAGAAATTCGGTATGACTATCAAGCCACATTAAAATCCCACTGAGGTGAGTGATTATCAGTTCAAAGACTAGAATTCCACTGCCAACATAGTCCTCTGCCAACATAGGCACTGCCAACATAGTCCTCTGTGAGATGGCAACAGCAAGCATCCTGAGCTGAAGCCTTTACAAATTTGGTTCGCACAACTAATTTCTCTTGTTTTGCCTTCAAACTCATCAAATACATTTCTGACTATGATTAGGTTTCTCATTTAAGTCTCCTTTTGGGAAGAGAATGCACTGGGCATAAGAACCTGGAGTATTCTGGTCTCTCATGAGACATTAACATGCTAAATAGCATGAAAGTAACATGCTAATATTAAAAAAGTTCAAAATATTGATGAATGGTAAGGCAGCTGCACACTCATTCCATTTCTAAAACCGAGAATTATACGTCTCCCCAGATTTTGCTTCAAACAAGTCCCTACATTGCCCCAGAGCCCAACCAATACGACGGACCAATATGATGGGGCTCTGGACTTAGAGAAAGAAGACCTGGGTTCACAGACCAGCTCGGGCTATTAACTCTCCTTGTTTTGTTTCTCCATCTGTAAACAGCTGACACTCTCTAAAGTACCTTCCAAAGCTAAAATTCAGTTTTAGGAACTCACCTCAAGGGGCTCACATTTGCACAGATCACTAACTGCTCTGATGAGAAGTTTAAGGTACAGGCTGTTAAGGGAGGCGCCAGCAATAAAAGACTACATTTCAAAACTCCCAAATCGCTTGCTTTGTTAGAGGCTTAAACAATTTCCAAACTCGGAGATGCCACCAAGGCCTAGTCCCAACCTAGTTCCAATCCCAGCTTTCTGAAATTGCACTGATTTAAAATCGTGCTTCATGCACATTGATGTTCATTGCAGCATCATTCACAGTGGCCAGGACATGGAAGCAACCAAAGTGTCCTACGATAGATGATTGGCTAAAGAAGCTGTGGTACATATATACAATGGAATATTACTCAGCCATAAGAGTGAAATACTGTCTTTTGCAACAACATGGATGGACCTTGAAATAGTCATACTAAGTGAAATAAGCCAGATAGAAAACGTTGAAAATCTCATGATATCACATATGTGGGATATAAACCTAAAAGCAACAAATGAACAGGACAAACAAAGACTCATGGACATGGACAATGGCCTAGTGGTTACCAGAAGGGAGGGGGAGAGGGAAGGGGGGAGGGGGAAAATAAAAAAATAAAATGTTAAAAAAATTATGTATATATAAACTGGCACTTTTAAAAAATCGTGCTTCATATTCTTATTTTTGAGTTGGGGTCCAAGCAATACTCTGTGAGCATTTCAAAGTCCTCACATCCCAAAACTCAAAACTGAGTTTAATTCTGCATCTCACACCCACTGAGAAGTCTGATCTGGGGAAGGTGAAACCTAGAAGCGCTCTCATTATTTTAGGCGTCTGGGAATTACAAGCCAAGCGCGGACCTCGGCGCGGGTCCAGGGACGGGGCAAGGGACTCACATTTCTCAATCAGAGGCTCCTCGTACTCTAGGCCGAAGATCTGCATCTCCTCGGCCAGCTGCTGGGTGGACACGGACATGGTGACACAGGAGTGGGGGCGGGTCCACACAGCTCCGACCTGAGTCCAAGAAACCCTCGGGTGTGGAGATCGATCAGCAGGAGGTCACTCTGGTCCTTTTGCCCTCTGGGGGACCGAGAAGGAAGGTGACCAAATAGCCCAAGACCTCAGGCGGTCAGAAAGCCCCAGCGGTCAGTCACGGAGAAACACTTTTTAAAACAATGTGGGGGAAGCCTCCAACGCTAAGCATCCCAAAGACCCCAGTAGAACACGGCCGCCGGGAAAATCCCGCCAAATGGTTTGTGCAGCGCGCGCATGCGCGAGACCGGGGTTCGGCCCCACCCCTTCCGCTCCGCGTTCTTCTCCTGGTTCCCGGACTACGCTCGCGCACGCGTGTCCGAGGGCGCGTGCGCAAAACTCCGACACGCCCGCCCGCGCCGGGCGGTCGGTACGCCCTACGGCGGCTGCGCAGTTGTCTCTCGCGGGCCGCAAAATACCGGCGCGCGAAGTCCCCCGCTCTTGGCAGCGAAACCGCGTTTTTGTGCAAGGCCTGGATACCTGTTTTCCGGACGTCGCCTGCTGGGCGATGGTCCATGACGCACATTCGTCACCCTTTTGTCCTGTAGCTTGGTGCGCAGGCGCTGTCGTATATTTGTCCTCAACTGTCCCATTCTGTGCCCTGCCTCGGAAAGGATGACTTGTCTTCCCGAGCCCTCGTTCATCTTAAACGGGTGGCTTCGTTAGGGACTCTGGTTCCCATGTTTATCATCGTAGTTATCACCGTAGTCCCAGCCACAGTGATAGGTCTGTTTTTTTGGATCTGGAGCATTTTGGTAGAAAAGGAGTGGAAAGGTGACAGATGACTTAGTTTTGGTCGTTAGGTTTGGGTGCCTTTGGGATTTCCAGGTAGAGATTCCCAGTGGGGGACCGGAAGCTTGGGAGTGAAGATGAGTCACTAAGGGCAAAGAGTTTAGAGGTAAAATTGTGAAGAAGGCTTTCCCCCAGAAATATCTCCTAATTATTTGAGCAAAAACCTCTGGCTCAGCTTCGATCAAATGACCTTAAGCATCACACTCAGCTAGTGGGATGGTAAACTGGTAGCGTCTAGAAAGCTTTGGCAGCATATATCAAGAGCCTTAAAAATGTTCATTCCTCCTTGACTTAGCATTTCTTGTCCTAAGAAAAGCAGCCCAAATCCAAAGTGTTACATACAAAGATGTTTGTCATGGCCTTATTTACAATATTTTTTAAAAAAGCAAAAAACAACAACAACATGCAAAGGAAGGGGCAGATTAAAGAAAGTATGGGCTTTTCCCAAAGCAGTGATTCTCAGGATTGTACCAAAGAGGCCAAAGGCATCTAGGGGACCCCTCAGGGCATCAGATGAGAGACAGGGGCCAGGCAGGGGGAGCACCCTGTCCTGGCTTCAGTCGGGCAGTGTGGAGCACATTGTAGTCTGCATATTAACTATTGTCAAGGGCAGAGTGCTTGGGAAAACCCTTTACTAAGTCTTCCTCCTGGTGGGGACTAAGGGTGGAGGGTGGGAGTGGTCCACCTTGGTACAGGCAATAAAAGGTGTATTTGTTTTTTATTGCCGTGTAATAATCTATTACAAGCTTAGTGGCTTAAAACAACACCCAATTATTAGTCCACAGTTCTGTAGGGCACAGCATGTCTGTTCTCCACTCAGCAAGGCTGGAATCAAAGTGTTGCATTCCTTTCTAGGGGTTTCTTCCACAGCCAGGGAAACTCTGTTTTTCAAGGGCCCACGCTTTAGGTCAGATCCACCAAGATAATGTCTTTTTCTTAAGGTCAAATGATTTGGGACCATAATTACATCTGCAAAATCCCTTTACATTAGTGCCTAAATTAGTGTGATTAGGACACTATCCTAATGTGAAAAGACATTGACCCAATAGAGCCCATAAAGAAGACTAAAAACCAAAAGGGTAAGTTATTGAAACAATGGCTGGATCTGTTTTGAAATATGTAACACCTTCAATATTGGGCATGGTTTCATTTCATGTTAATTACTACAAATAACGTCTTATAGATGAGGGTAGAGTTTAAAAATCATCTGCTCAGGTTGTCAAATAGGTGAGGTATGACACCAGACCTCCATTTTTGAATCCTTTTCTGAATTATTTGTTCTCTGTTATTTGGAAGTGGCTGACGGGGTTTGATAGATTCGTTCAGGTCTCTTACAGAAAGCTGTCAAGAGCATGTCAAGACTCTCTCTCTAGAATGTGGGATTGTTTGTCATGTATCATACTCAGATAACAGGAAAAATGTCATTCTACGTCCTGTTATAAATGTTTAGTAACCATTTGGATTTCCTCTTTTGCAACTTGCATGTTTACGTCCTCTGCCCTTTGCCTTTTCTTACATAGCAGCAGGAGCCCTTCGCAGGTCATAGACCACAGGTCAGTCCGACCAGCTGCCTGTCTTGGTAAGGCTTGTAAGTTAAGAATAGTTTTTACATTTTTTAATGCCTGAAAAAAAAAAAGGCAAAAAAAAAAAATTGTGCGGAAATTATATAAAATCCAAATTTCAATATCCATAAAATTTTATTGGAACACAGCCACACCCTTGCTTATGGATAGTCTTTGGCCGAGTCTGCTACGAAGACAGACTTAAGTAGTTTCTAGAGCCTTGTGGCCCTTAAGCGTCAAACATTTACTGTCTGGCCTTTTACAGAAAATGTTTGCAGATTCCTGCCATAGACAATAGCACTGTCTAGCAGATGTGCGGCATGCATATTTTCCCCAAACTTTCACTTTGCGGTTTCTTCTGCCAAAGTTTTGTGCCTATATTTTCCTTTATGGCTTTGGGTTTCCCACTTTGCTTAAGAAAGTCTCTGCAACTTAAGCTTATGCAAATACTCTTCGAATTTGTCTTTTTATTAATTTAATCACTTTACATTTTACTTTAGATCTCTCATCTACCTGGAATTAATTTTATTTATGATGGGAGGGAAGATTTAACTTTGTTTTCTTCCAAACAACCAGTATGTCAGTTATACTTAGTAAATAAAATTCTTCTCCAACTAAACTGCACTGTGACCTTTCATATAGTAAGTCCCTATAACTACTTAGATATGTTTCTGGATTTTTATATTCTTTCCGCTGATTTATTTGTTACCTTCTCTGTGTTAATATAATAATGTTTTTATTATAGTAGTATACTTTTATTATTTATTTATTTTGGTGAAAACATATCATAAAACTTACCATCTTCACCATTTTTAAGTGTACAGTTCATTAGTGTTGTCTTTTATTTATTTTTGACACCAGTGTTGCCGGAGGCACCGCTTTGCACTGCAGGCATGTTGCCACCAGGTGATGGCAGTGTGGCACAGTCTCAGGGACTGAGCTTCTCCAGAATTGTCATTCAAACTGTCCTTCCTTCCCAGAGTCTCCACATGTTGCTATGTGAAACTAAGTCTTTCTGGATAGAGGGAGACAAGATTTTAATAAACAGAGCTATAAATCTTGAACCAATTGTTTATCGAGTTGCTGTCATGTCTGAGGCACTGGGGTAGACCTATGGTGCAGAGATGATGGGGGGTGCTGTATCACAAAGACAATAAACCCTGGGAGCCCCCGGGGCATAGTAACAGCAGCTAGAATCTACTGAGCTATCAGGGGCCAGGCGCCATGTTGGGAGCCTCTGGGTGTTATCCACACTCCTTAAAGCAACCCTAGGTGGTATTGTTGCTATCTGCTGCCAATCCCCTATCATGATCTGTTTGAAGTTCAAATATGATTATGTCAGCCCCACCCCCTGCTCTGGACCCTTTCAGTGTGTCCTGTAACTAATGCAGCTCTGCTGCCCAGAGGTCACCCAGGCTGGTGCTTGGGATACTAGGCTTCCCTTGCTTGCTTTGGTCCAGATTGGTTCAGAAGCAGGCAGGGCCCGTGGCTGCTTTCATGGCTGGATGACTTCTTGCCGTATTTACAGAGAAAATCTTTAGGAACAGAATAAAAAGTTTAAAATATTTATTTGGTGATTTGATTATAGAACAAGAATATATAAGCGGGTATGCATTTTTTTTAAAGTTTGCAAATAACCGAGGTGGTATCGAGGCTGCCTCATCCACAGCTATGGCTTCAGGTATCGTCTGCCATGAATGACTCGTGGATTTTTATCTCTAACCGGGGTCTTTCCTCTGAGACCAGAGATGCAGGCACAACTGCTTTCTTGGTGTTTCCTCTCGAGACGAAGCATCTTAAATTCAGTCTTCCGTAAACTCATTTAGGGTCTTCCCCTGCAACTCGGTCACCTTCTGGCATAGCCTGTCCCAGCAAATGACACCGACGTCCATCTAGGCGCTTATGACAGAAGTCTAGGAGTCACCTGGATAAAGCTCTCATCCCCTCCCATGACCTGTCCTGTTTATTTCCCTCTTCTCTCCCCAATAAAACCCATTTTCCTCTCTCCATCACCACCATCCTGATCCAGGATACCATCCTATCTCACCTGGATGGCCGGAATGACCTAACTGGTCCCCACAGCACTCTGGCTCCCTTCCAGTCTATTTTCTACTCCATTGCATTGCTGTTTGATCCTTCCGCCTCACCCTTCTCTTTCCATTGCTCACAGGATGTCTGAAGAACCACATCCCTATCAAGGCCTCAAGACTCTGCCCAATCTGGTCCCAGCTCCCTCTCTCTAGCTTCCTCTGGTATTGCTCTCCCACTTGATTTCGATGCTCCAGCCCCAGTGGCCTCGCTTCCATGAAAGAGCCACAGTCTCACACTGGCCTTTCCTCTGCCTATATCTCTCTTCACCTCTCTCGTTGCCTGGTACCTCCCACACTTTCTTCAGATCACAGACCAACGAGAAACTAACCCCGTCCCATCTGACCAGATCGCTTATCCTCCCTCATACCCTTTCATAACTCTTATTCTAATGGAAGCTCGGTATTATTTTTTGGCCCACACTAGAGGATGGTGGGGGCCCTGACTGTATACTCACAGTTGTGTTTCAGTGCCTGGCATGTGAGAAGTGCTCAATAAGGAAGTATGAATCAATGAATGTTAACTCCTTTAATCTTCAGAATAGCCCTAGGAGGTACACATTATTATCTCAGTAAGGGACTTGTCGAAGGTCATGTAGCCAGAATCTGAACTGTTCTCCACCCAACTCTAGAGACCACGTCACCTATCCCTCTACTGTACCTTCTTCCAAATATCTTTCTGAGTCTTGTCTGATTTTTTTAACTTCCTTTTATATAACTTGAAAATTTCCCGAGATTCTCTTGAGTTAACGAGCCTCTTCTTCTTCTTCTTCTTCTTTTTTAAAGTAATTATTGCTGTGAGGTTTTAAGAATTATCAGTAAATCGCACACGATAAGAATTAGGCCAGACAAATTGCTTTCCTCCTATTGGAGAAGAGCTTGATGTTTAGAGACTGAGCAGAATCTCTGAGGGCATTCGTGCAGGCTGTTCACTGAGCAAAAGTATCTGGCCGAATGGAGTGGGGATGGGGTGCTGAAATCAAGCCCTTGTTTGCTGACCAAGCTATGCATCCCACGGTGAAGCCGTGTCTACCCGGGGTGGGGGGTGGGGCAGGGGTGGAAGTCTTTCTAATTTGTACAAAGGCACCAGTCACTCACTAAGCTGAGTGCCCAGGGAGCTGCTTCTACATGGAGGGTGTACCTTTCTCAAGTTCACTCGAGGTGATGTATGGGTTAGGTGGCCCTGGATTATGGTCCCCTTACTTGAATGTTTTCATTGAATTAAACACTCTCTACTGCAGGAATTTAGGGGGGAAAAAGGGACTTGTTTATTTCGGGAGTACTGTGTGCAAAAAGAAAAAAATGGACGTCTAGCATCTAGACATTCTTCCTTAGGACGCGACGTTACTGTCCTTCCAGAACCAGGGTAGGACAGAGCTGGGCCCCTAGTTTTGGATGTTTATCTCATCCTTACAGCTGACATTGCGTGAGTCGAGTTGGGCCTCTATGGATCATGTCAACGTGCAAGATGAACTCTGCTTCTCTCTTTAGCAAACACTGGAGGGCAACCCAAGGTGACTCATTTTCACTGTGTTCCCCCAGCCCCTCCGCCCCCGCCAACCCCTGCCCCATTTATGAAAGAACAGCTACACCTCTTGACCCCTCTCCTTCAAGTTGGGGATGGTGGCCCAGTGGGGGTGCCGTTCCTTCTTCGACAGTTTTCACCAGAAGATCTGGCAGGAGGAGCGCTGGTGCCTCAAGCACACTGTCTTTCTTGCATGGAGGGTTAGCAAGTTTAATAAACCCAAAGGTTCTGGCTGATTCTGGGAACAGTATACGCTTTCAGGAAGACGAGACAGTATGCAAGGTAGGCTTGGAAGATGCAGCTGGCAAGAAGGCTGCTTTGTTTTTCTGTTTTGTTTTTTGGGAATTAGCTGGGTTTTTATCAGTGAACAAAGCAAATTCCCTGAATGCATGCAGGTAGCTAGCAAGTGGCCACAAAACTGTGGTGCAATTTCAGCTGTTTATATGGAGTTAAAGCTACAGTTATTATACATCCCCTACTTTTAGCAAACAGCAGATATTTAATTTGTCTTAGTAGTTACACCGAGCTTACTCTGACATGCTATTTTCATAATTATTAGGCTGACTCTGACATTCCATTCTTTCATGATTCTTTATCTTGTTTTCTTTTGACTAATGTATTTAAAGTTTATTAGTTATATCTCTTTTCCTAATCAGGTAAAAAAAAAAATCTATAACATTTTACACCTTTTTCAGATAAAAGAGGAAATTTAGCTATTTCTACTTCTGTGTGTGATACGTAAGTATCTCTTATGTCATAAAGTGACTCTTGCTTTTTGAACATCAGAAATGCATCCCATGCAGTCTGGCTTGCTGCTAAACAACAGTATCCTGTTTGGCTTATTAAATAAAAAATTATCATTACAAATCGGCTGATTGAATTTACTTTCAAACATTGACATTCTTGCTTCAATGCTTCATTGAAGGAATCTGTCAGAAAATTAAAAAATTAAAAATAAAACCGAATGTTTGGTTTGCAACGAAAAAAAAGGGAATCTGTCAGTTCTTAGTTTTTACCTGTTTTCATGAAGTTAGGCACAAGTTTGGGAAGAAAACGAACTGTCAACGTTACGGTGAAACAAAGTGACAACACAGAAACCTTTGCTACGTGTTGTCAGTGTCTCTGAGCAGCGATTTATTTGCAACAAACTAGTATTCACCCCTGAAATGCCCGAGCTCCAGGGGGCTCTGGGTGGCCCTGCAGCCCACTCTTGGCTCTCCCCACTCAGTTTCTCTCCATGTCCCTTCTCCTTGCCTGTTCCATCTCTTGCTCCCAGATGAACACTGGCCATGCAAAAGGTCTGGCTTCATGCAGACAGGCCCACTTCAAAATTGGAGAGGCCCAATGCAAAATGAAAATGCAGGGCTCCTTGTTCAAAAATGATTAAGAATTTCAGGATGGCAGCACCAGGGCATTGAACCAAATGTGGGACCCCTCTGAGCGTGGGGCCCAGTGCAGCTGCACGGGCTGCACACCCATGAAGCCGGCTGTGTTCGCAGTCATTCCCAGCTCATGCCAGAGGGGCCCTGTGCTTGAAGCCAGCCCTGGCCAAGACCGCGCGGGTTGGCTGCCTTTCTCTCAACCTGCTCTGTTTCTGCTCGATAGGTCTGTATTATAATCCTCGGCAAGTTCTTCTGTGAACCCCTGTGTTCTAGGAGAGGGGAGGGGTGTGCTAGGAACCCTAGGAGCCCTGCCTGGGGACCCAGGAGAACTGGCTGGGTTCTCTCTCCAGGTAGGGCTGGGTATGGGCTAGGATTATATAACTGATCTTGGGTCGCTGTTGAGTGAGTGCTTGCTAAAGAGAGAAGTGGCCCTGAGGTCAGGCGGCCCATGAAAGTCTGTCCTGAAGAGATAACAATGGAAGCATTATTTAAACTATGGTGTTGTCTGTGTGTGTGTGTGTGTGTGTGTGTGTGTGTGTGTATGTGTGTGTGTGTGTGTGTGTTTGTGTTTGTGTGTGTCTTACATAGCCATCCTTTCTTGCACAGGACTACTCTAGAAACTTCTGTCTAGAAATAATAAGAAATCACCCAGAAAAGTCATATTCTTTATACATTACCTTATTCGTTAAAAGTAATCAGGACTCATCACGAGAGGTGTTCCCTTGCACATGTAGGAGGCTTTATGCTCAGGGCCTCTTTGTCGATGGACTCTAACATCCCAACAGTGATGACTGCGTGCTCAAGGACAGCTGGAGAGGAAGGTGGGGGGCTGCTGTGCCTGGGGAGGATATGTAAAGGGCATCACGGGTGCCCAGAGGCAGGCAGAGGAGGTCAGGGAGTGCTGCCTGGAAGAGGTGACTCCCAAGATGAATCTTAAAGTATGACCAGGCACAGCAGCCCTCCCCCTTTCAGATGTACTGATCTGCTGAAGGCTGTGGGTTGAGAACAATGCAAATGGGAACGTTCACATAGCGGATTTTTGGAAAAAAGCTTACGCCTATGGGAAGGACTGAGGATTTGGTGCACCAAGGCCAGACCTTGGGATGGCTTCTAGAAGAGTCTCACTCTAGCTCTGTTCCAAGGGCTAAGGTGCCTAAAGACAGACCTTGGCGAAATGGTAGGTTGCAGCGTTTCCTACGCAAACCTTGATATTCCAACTTCTTTCCTAGATTGTCTTTTTCCTTGACTGTAGGGGACTGAGCACTGATCTTGTTTGATTCTCCGGCAACTCCGGAAGGGAGGGGTTAGACAAGGAAACTTGCCCAAGGCCACCCAGTGGGCCAGGATTTGAATTCTTCATGAATCTAATCTGAATTCTGGTGAAGGTCAAGATCAAGGATGTAGGCACATGTCCAACATCTGGATTAGAAATGGATCTGAGGTCAGAAGGACACTGTACCAAACCGAGATTCACCCCTCTGTGTGACTTCTGCAAAGTGGTATTCCTAGGGACGCAACCATGGGTGGCAGTTGCCATCCATCACCCGAGACTGAGTTCATCCTTGCGTGGGGAAAGAAGGCTCTGCCGTGGAGCCATTTGCCCTCAAGGAGGCAAGTCACACACACCCAGGGGGAGAGAGCTTTAATCGCGTAAGGCAGGAGAGAGTAAATGCCTCATGAGTGCAGCGCAGTGAGTTCTGGAAGTTTCTCAAGGACAAGCAAGTGGGGCTGTTCCAGGGACAACCGGAGGCAGAAATGTCACCGTAACCCTTCAGAAACACAGTGTCTTCAGGTGGAACAAGAATGAACAGAGAGGTTTTAAGGGGCAGAGTCAGCAGTGAGGAAGGAAGCATCCCTCTGAAGCGGTTTCCCCCGACTTTCTACACATTCACGATGCCCGTGGCGTCTGCTGTTGGGTTTCCTCCAGGAGCCCCAGCCCCAGTTTACGGATGACTCTGTCATGGGCTGGCAGAGCCACCATGGTCCTTGGCCGACCTCATCCCTGGTCAGTGTCAGAAGAAGCCCCGGGGAGCTGTCTGGACACTGGCTGAGATGCCACCAGCAAGTGCCAGGCTCTTGGAAGCTTAGATGGTTTCCTTGAGGGCAGAAGCTCCCAGCTGCTGAAGAGAAATCTCCTCACTCTTCCCCTCCACATCCTTCTTGGAAAGGCCTTCTCCGACTCTGTTTAAACGAAAAAGCAGATGGAAAAGTGACACGGGAAGGTAGAAGGGAGGTGGCGAGGGGCAGGTGGTGTATTCATGACATCCGAGGGTGTGTTTGTGCCACGCACAAGAATGTGTCTCCATTGTCCCAAAGTCCCTTCCTTGCTCCATTCCTGAGGTCTGGGGGCCAGCCGCGCCTGGCCTGGCTGGTTAGAACTAGACTTGGAAAAGCTGCAGGGTCAAAGAGCTTTCCCAAGAGGACCCAAGGCCAGATGCACCCAAGGTCACCCATCCAGGACTCGCCATGGACAGGAGCACCAGCAGAGACTGGAGACCGGGCATTTCCAGTGCCTGTCATCCCCTGCCCCAGGTGGAGAGTCAGCCAGCGCAGCAGGCAGGGAGGGACAGAGCTGGTGTGCCAGAGCCAGGGGAGGGGAGGGCAGGGAAGTCCCCTGGAATAGCCTTTCAAATAGCTCAAAGGCCGCCTGCCACGTAGGGCTTTCTGCCCTTTGACCAGCTCCAGCCGGCCTTTTCCTCTTTTAACCCTCCAGTCTTTGAAATGATGCAAATGATTTGGTTCCAGTTTTATTTTATCCTGGTATTGCACAGACTGGAAATTGTTTATTCTATCAAGCAGTCAGTTTTCATTATCTTTTTGTTTTAATCATCTACCTATCTTGCTGATTTATCTTGTCTATTTTTAGCTGGTTCTGTTTTTAGAACTTTTTGTTTCTAGTCTTTTAGTTCAATGGTTTAAGCCACTTTTTTGTGTGTGATTATTAACATAATCACAAAGAAACAGTTCTTTCTTCCGGTCCCAGGTCTGTCCTTTCTGCTCTTTAAAGCTTCTAGTCTTCTCGACTCTGTCTCTTGGCGTCATTAGCTTGTTGGTTTTACCTGTCGTGTGCCTGTGGGTGGGGGCTGAGAGGCAGGGGCCTGTTTCCCCCAAGTCCTGTTTAATAGATTCCCCATCCCTTGCAAAGAAGGTTTCTAGGAACCCAAAGGCAGACCATGTCCAGATTCCACTGCTGCAATGGTCAGGCTTGCTCAGCATCATTTTTCTCCCCCTCTTTAATTCCCCCCTTCCTTCCACCCCTGACCTATGGATGTTGCTGTTTCCCAGAACTGGATTTCTGAAGGTGGGGTGTCTCCGGCGCACTCGGGGGGCCTGGCCCATGTCTCCACCTGGAGCACGAACCCAGGTCCTTCTGTGTGTAAAGCAGACATACTAACCACTACACTATGAAGCTACCCTGCTCAGCGCCCATTTTAAAACTTGTCAAATGAGCAAAGATGACGAGAGCTGGCCCATTGTGTGACCTGAAATCCATGGTCTTCTTTTTGAATGTCTGAAATATAATAAAATTTGCATTAAAAACATGCTTGAGTCAGCCATGCAGCTGGTGCGTACCATGGGTGGGAAGGTGGTGGGAGGTCCCAGCTGGCCAAGGGCGTGGGCTTTGGCCTCGGTGGAGAGGTGACCTTGAAAGGCTGAAAACCTATCCCCCTACCCCTCACTTCCCCAGCGCCCCCACCAGTGGGAGGAGCACTGTGGAAGGTCACCCGTTGGAGCCCTGGAAATATCTCCAGGCCAGGCCGCCACTCTTCTGAGTCTTCCCACCATTTTAGCAGGCTTTATGGAGCACCAAGGGTCCCAGGTCCCATCCTTAGCTTCTAGACCCAAAGGCGGGCTGCCCTGGGTCTGGGAAAAGACTTAACTGAAATCTTACAAATATTTGTATTGTATGCTTCTTC